AAGGCGTGTCTTACTGTTATTCAAATAATCAATATACTTCTTAAGAATTTTTTTCCATAGTCTTGATCGCTCTCCGTCAGTTAATCGTCCCTCTATAGCATATTGGACTTTATATATTAATTCTGCTATTCTTTTCTTAAACGCTTTAATCAAAGCCAAGCTCTCGAAACTATAAAGGTCGACAACACGTATTGGGACATTGTATTGTTGCATCCCTCGAAAGAATGCACCCCAAAACGAGGCATCACCATCAGTCATTAATAATGTTAGCCATGTGAGAAAATTAGAAGGATCCTCAAATATTTCTTTTACCGCATTCCAGATTTCTAAACTATTTCTCGATGTTATTGAGCGTGCGTCTTTAAAACGTGTTGCCACATCTATGATTAGAAAAGTACAAACAAATATCCTTCTACCATCCTGATCATCGTAAGTGTGGAGCAGAATGTCACACTGCTGAACCTTGTTTGGAATCTTAATCTTCGAAAAACTTGCTTCAGCTTTACATGGTAGTGGTTGTCGATAAATTTGATGGATATATTGATACACTAACCACTTTGCAATATCTCGCAATCGAAAAGAATATCCTTCTTTCTGACATGCATTATATAGGTTTTTGGCATTGGTATAAAAGCCAGGTATATTATAAAACAGAAGTCTACAGACTATATGGAGCTCTTCATCGGGATTTATTACAATCTGCGGTTGACTCATTCTTAAACACGATTATATAATGGTTCTATAAATCAGGGCTGAATAATATCATGTCAACATTCGATCCAGCGTATTCACAACTCTTAGATACGAACCAGGAGCTTCGTAGTGAGCTTCAGAATGAAATTTCCAATAATAAAAGTAATGAGAAAAAAATTTGTTCTCTTGTGAAGGAGCTAGAGCAATGTTATCAAACTATCTCATTACAGGATAATACTATCATAGCCCATGAAAAAGAGGTAGAGAAACTTAAATCAGAAATATCTGATTTGCGAAAACAGCTTAGGATCTTACAACAAGATAAAAAATTCAAAGATGAGGCTGGGTCTATTCAAGATGGCCGAATCATAGAGCTTGAAAATAAGGTAGAACGTCTCAAGGCAAGAATCCGGATTCTCATAGATAAAAAAATCTCAATAAATGCTTTAGATATGGCAACAGCTGATCTTATTGGAAATATTAACAGAGGGTTAGATCGGATTGAAAATCATATTAGAGGTGCCGGTACACTACTGCCAAATCCTATTAATATTTTAGATGGTATCAGGGGCTCGTTAAATACTATTCGGGTTACTTTGCAAAATGCCACAACTGAGCGGGATCAATATCAGAACATATTAAACGAAACAAATGAGCGGGAACAGGTTCTTATACAGCAGTTAAGGGATATGAGAAATGAAAATCTGCGATTCCAGCAGTTATTAGATGAATTCCGAGCTCAGGCTGAAAGAACTGTAAGGAAAAGAGATAATGCTCAAGGAGAGCGGGACTTGACTATGCTGGCCTATAATAATGAGAGACAAGAATCTCGTCGCTGGATATTTTCATATCGGGATAAAGATAGGCGTGTCCAAGGATTATTGCGAGAAAAATTTGCTAAACAGCTATTGTATTAGCGAGATACTAACCGTCTTCAGCAAAATACCCGACAGTTGCAGACTAATGCCCAAAACCAGGTAAATAGGATGTTAGTTATTATAGCAAGAAAACAAACCCGCATTGGTGTATTGCTACGTGAAAAGTTTGTTTTCCAGCTAGTGATTAGGCAAAGAAACCAGAATATTTTAAATTTGCAGGGACAAATTTTGGCGCTTCAGAATAACCCATTAGGAAATATGGCAGATGCTAGACGTTTACCAGTATTAACTATGATTGCACCGGTTCTTGCAAAAACTAAGCCCTATATAGGCCAAGAACCTCCTGATGATTATTTAGATAGACTTATTCAATCAATATCATTTGCACAAGGACATATGACTGTTCTTGAAAATGCAAATGCTGGAGATTTCGATGATGTTGTCAAATGTGATATTTTTAAAGCTCAGATGGGAGGAAAATATTTACCAGTTCCTGCCCAAGATCCATATAATGGAAATGCTAATATTAATTCTCCAGCTACTTTACGTGCTTGGATGAGATCACATTATCAACGAGAAACAGTAGGTAGTCGGCAGTCGGCACTTCAAAGATTAACTCAAGAAAAATTTCTACCCACAGACTCGCCAGATACTTATGAAAAAAGAATCTGACCTTTATTATTAGGTGTAGCAGATAATGATGCACCAACTATAGGATTTCTTAAGAACCACTTATCAGGTGATCTTTATACATGGATGCGAGCTGTCGCTCCTGCTGGTATTAATGCATTTTTTACAAATCTAAAAGACATGTGGCTGGAGCGTGCTCCCAATTTAAATGGAAACCAAAATTATCAGAATAATTCTTCAGCTGAGATTGAAAAGTTAAATTCCCAAATAGTATCTCTACAGGCGCAACTAGCACAACCGGCTCAAGTACTACACCCCAAAAATAATGAAGTTTCAGCCAATTTTGAAAAGTTAAATTCCAAAATAGCTTCTTTGGAGGCATAGTTAGCGGAATCAATGCAGGTGCATTCTAAACTTGCCCAACGTTTACAGCTACCAGAAAATGTAGTTAATTCAAATAATGCTTCAATCTTTGATAATTATATTAATCAAGAATTGGAAAAAAGATTAGGAGTAATCGAAATTAATTTAGCCAACCCTATAAAAAGTATTTATATTTAAAATATAATTAAAAACTTTTTAAAATATATTTAAAATATACTTAAAATATATTTAATTTAAAAATTGCGAAATACTTATAATATACTTAAAATGTATTTAAAATTATCTTAAAATATATTTCTAGTATATTTAATTTTTGCCCAAATACTTAAAATATACTTAAATTATATTTAAATTAAAATTTAAGTATATTATAGATATATTTTTTACATACTTAAAATATACTTATAATAAATCTTATAATATACTTAAATTTTAATTTAAATATAATTTAAATATATTTTAAGTATATGGGCAAAAATTAAATATATTAAACATATATTTTAAGATAATTTTAAGTATATTTTAGATATATTAAAAATATATTATAAGTATTTTGCAATTTTTAAATTAAGTATATTTTAAATATACTTTAAGTATATTTTAAGTATAATACTTTTTATAGGGCAAACTCACCAAACTCGTAAGAGAAGATACCATAAATACCAAATCAGCTCAGTATTAGTGTTCAGAATTCTCAGACTATAATAATGGAGGATTGGAAAAAAGATTAGAACGAATTGAAACCCACTTAGCTAAATTTGCTAGAAAAGATACCAGAGATACCAAAACACCACAGCGACAACGCTCGGAGTCCTCACCTTTTGGAGGATTGGAAAAAAGATTAGGACAAATCGAAGCCTTATTGGCTAAACTCGCTAAAGATTCCAAATCCAGAAGTAGTCGAGTTCATATGGCTACAGTAGATGAACAGTCTAATCCCATTTTTTCTGATGATGATACATTAAAACCTGAGGACAATGATTATAACTCTGATAATTCGTCAGCCGGTTCAGACTCCGGAAATCGTGATATGAATATTTACATAAGTCATGGAAAAAAAAAGTGAATTACGCTGAGCAACGTGAGTATCCTGATAAATCCTCAAAGTCTAAGGTGTCTAATAAATATGAGCTTCGTAAGGTAAAGCAAGACAATAATGTGTCTTCTACCCATAATGCCTCATCAGATAAAGATAGTCATGGTAAGCGTGTGTCTTTAGAAGAAACTATTCGCAAAATCATTCAGATTGAATTTGAGAATTATCTTCCGTACATAATTCAGCAAGCTAAAAAGTGTGCACCTGCCTTAGCTCAAGATTCAGATAAAGAGGATGTTTTGGATGGACCCATGGAGATAGATTTCGTCAAAAAGAAGGAGCCCACCACAAGCATTGCATCTATAAAATGCAAGATTAAGCGTCTTAAAATTCCAGCTATGGCACTGGACTCTTGTGCCGAACTTCCCATTATAACACCTGATATTGTTGAGCGCGTAGGATATGGAATCGACAAATCTATAAAACATGATCTTAGTGGTATTGCTACTGTGCCGGTTGAATCTATTGGAGTCGTCCACAATTTACCGATAACCTTAGCTCCTGGATTTACTATATATGAAGATTTTATAGTTGTAAAATACTCTAAGCCAATGCTAATATTTTTGAACCCTCTTCTTAAGAAATATAAATGTGCAATTGACTGGGACAAAGATGAATTAAAGATTTCTCATAACGGCAAGGATTTAATTATTCCAGTCACCATGCACAAAGTCAAGAACAAGCTCGAGGTGAATTGTGTAACCACTACTCCCGAATGTGATAAATCCTCGATTCCGGACCAAGTGGACTTGAACGCGAATGAGACATTAAAAAAAAAGTGAGTTATGAGGAGCTTGAAAGAATGTTATATAACACTCTTAAGTCTAAAGAAAATCTCAATGAATTATGTGAGGAGTTGTTATTACGTTATAATGAACTAAATGAAAAATATCTTTTACGTGGCTAGTATCCTATTCATTTCTTCTGTGATTTTTTCGCCTCTCTTATCTTCTTTCTCACAAAATGCTTCTAATTCCTCATTGCTTATATTTAAACTTTTTGAGCTTATTGAAGCTAGTGGTGTCTGAATAACAGGTAACTCAGAGATACGAACGGATTTAGACTTAGTTTTTTTTCCTCCAAACTTTTTTACCTTACTTCCAGAAATAACATTACATTCCACAGGGTCTGCTTGCTGAGGCGAACCAGGTTCTTCTGAAAATCGATTTATGTCTTTAGGATCTATTTGTGGATGGGCTCCTCTCCATATTTGATATACCCGTCATGATGATATTTTGTACTTGTTAGCCATGGCTTCTGATGCTCGCTTCATTGAATTTTTAGCTTTAATAATATCCTGAATATCTTCAGCTGATAGGGAGGTCGCATCTGAACGCAGATACTGAAGCATTTTTTACAGATAGATATAAAAAAAATCTTTCGAAAAATTATCAGTGTATTTTTGATATAATTTCGATATTCAATCGATTTTTGTTCGATATTATCAATTTATTTTCGGTAGATTCGGTACATTCGATCCATCTGATATATTCGGTATATTCGGTGTATTCAGTACTATCGATATATTTTCGGTAGATTCGGTCCAGAAATTTTTAGACACATTTTTTTTATATTAGCAACTAAGCCGAAAAAAAAGGCTATGACCAATGTATATACCTTGAAAAATATCAATAATAAAGATAATGATTCCTTTAAGGGGGTCAGACAACGACTTGGTGGTACATATGAGCAAGAGCTTAAAGAAAAATTATATTCCGCTATTAAATCTAAAGCCGAAATTAATGATCTCAGCGAAAAGCTGGTAGATAAGTACAATGAGCGATAAAAGGAGTTTGAAAATAAAGCTAGCCAGTTAAATACGTCCAGTACTAAGGTTAGATCCCAACTTATTTCTGAACGGAAGTCTCATTCCGAAAGTCAACGTGAGCTTGAAGTCAAATATACTGCTAAAATCCAATCGCTCAAATCAGAGATTAAAACACTGAAGAGAAAGGCAACTTTGGCCTAGAAAGCTTCGTCCGCTAACAAGGTCCAGATTCTTTCTCTTGAAACTAAAATACGTGAATTGGAAGGTAAGTTGGAGGACATAGATCTAGAGCGTACATATCATGATTTGGATGTAATGGGAGGGGTGATAGAGGAGCCAGTCCAAATAAGCTCATCCGATCCTAAAGAGATTAATTCTCTCAGGCTTGAATTGGAACAGGTGAAGGAGGACCGTAATTCAAAAGAATATACAATAGAATGTATGGAAAATGGGATAGAGTCATCAAATAGCATATTTAGACGGGAAATAGATGCTTTGTATTCAGCGCGATCAAAATTAAGGGAGGAAAATAGGTCCTTCAGGGACCAGTTAGAATTGAAGGAAAATAATGAAATACCCCCTCCACCCCGCCTATGAATGATTCATCCCAAATTATTTCTGTAGGTAGCGCAAAAACGGTATCTTTACCGTCAGCTATTCCTATCGTTGCGAGCTCCTTGATATCGCCGTTGATAATATATTCCATACTTATCTTTTTACTGATTGCAATTATGTACTTTGTATTTGGGAAAAAAATATGGAATTTGTGGAGTGCTAAGCCGAAAGAAAATAGTAATACCGAGTATTCTCCTAATTGGAACTATTTTTTATCATCTCCGAACATTTCCGAGGCTGGGATTTATGATCGGAGGCCAGAAGTTTGAAGATAGAAATTGAAGTTAGCCGGTATTATTACACGAGAAAAAATATGTAAATTTTATTATGCGAAGCGCCTTAACGGCTAAGTATTCTTAGTTGAAATTGCCACATCCCGCTAAGAGTATTTATCCATATAATTCGATGATCTCATCTATATCCGCTTCAGACGAATCATCTTTTTTGTCATCCTGTAACTTCGATAATGTTCGATAGCGTATAATTTCTAGGCCAACTACTTTGTACCATGTGTTTCAGAAATCTGCTAGTAGCTTACACACATCCAAATAATATGATATTAAATATTGTTCTAAGGACATTGCTCGCTTCTTAGTAACTAATTTATACATACTGTCTCTATACTCTATATCAACCTTGGAAATTTCTTTAAGCAATGATGAAAGTTTTAAGCGGATGGATTCTTCTTGCTTATCTAGCGCATTGAGGAATGATTGGTAATAAGCATTGTTAGTTAGGTGTTCTCCCTTGTCGGCATAAGTAGTATCAAATATTTTTTTCGCGTAAATGCGTGCCCTTCCCATAAATGAGATATGATGGTTTTATCTTTTTTCGGACCATCACATAGGCTTTTGATATACCCCCTAATCCACTTTTCAGCTGATTTCTGCGCTAAGGCATCTCTTATTTTTGATACCTCATCTTCATCCATTTTGTCTTCATCTTCTTCGTCTTCATCCAGGTCATATCCATCCACCCCACCGTCATCCGCTTTATTATCACCCGCTTTATTAGCATCTTTCAACTTTTTTAAAGCCTCCACACAATTTCAGATGATGGCTGGAAACTTTCATCATAGTTAATAAATCGTGCACAGAGGCCGACGACGGTTTTCAGATAATAGCTGATATCGATCTTTTTACCTAATCGCCTCACTACCTCTGGATACTCCATTTTATTTCCGACCTTATCTGATGAATCATTCTCAACTACAACATACTCAAAACGCTCACCCGGTTCTGGGATTTCATAAAGATAAGGCTCGGATGTTAGCCCTCTTTTTATGAGCCGTTTGGCGTCTGCTTCTTCACGAGTATGTCTGTCTCGCATTCGTGAAATAAAACGCTGAACACTCTTGTTATTCTTATCGGGCTTCCACACAGCAGTTTTAATCACCCCATTAAGATCTATCTGTGAAATATCATTTATGGTCTCTTTGAGCACGTCCTCCACAATCCGACGCAAGGTGCGAGTATTATCCAGCCTCATAGATTCTCCCATGACCTTCTTACCCACCTCACGAAAGTGTTTAGACTGCCCCCGCTTTACAACCTCAACTCCCCGAATGAAAAGCTTTTTATTAAAGTTCGGCTTGCTTTCATGCAGGATACCATAGTATTTTTTCTTTCCAGTAAATACTACCGGAAATAAGACTTTCTCATATGCCATTTTAAGATAAGGGGATCCTTGAGAAAGTCATTAACTTCATCACGAAGTTTTTCCATTTCCACCATAGAGATTTCTACCATTCGAGACCAATATTCTTCTTTTGAGATCCCGTTGCCACTATCATAAGCCTCATCACACCTCTGGAAGCGTTCTTCTGGACAGACTAAATACAAGGAATTCGTATCACCATATTTTATCTCAAATCCCTTTCTCTTAACGAAATCTGCAACGAGTTTGATATTTCTCTATCCAGCTGAAGTAACACCCCCAGCAAGTTCACGCAAGAAGAAGGGGGATTTACTATCTCCAGCCGTACCATAGAATGTATTCATATATACCTTGAAAGCATATTGTTTCTTATTCAAACAAGAACAGTCGAAACAAATAGAATCATATTCTGCTATGAATTCATGCTTTTCTTTATGAATAAAATGATATAAATTCTTAGTAAGACCGTTACGTTTTTCTACCTCTGCATTCGCTAAGATCTGCTCTATGGCTTCTGATAATGACAAACTTTTACCCATTGAACTTATTACCAATTCCATGTCTTCCTTTTTCTCTTTCAAAGGTGCAAGACGCTTCTTCATCTCATTTCGTTTACCTGATAAATATTCCAATACGCTAGTATAGAGTCCTTTTTCTTCAGAAATATTGTTATGCTGAACTGACCAGGCACGTTGGGGGTTGTTATTAAATAGAAACTCTATCTTATGAAGCTTTTTGTCGCTTTGTTCTACAGATACGGCATGCTCTTGAGATAAAATGATTTTGTCGGGTGAGAGGTTGTATGTTATGATAAGATTCAGATATAACGATGCGAAATCTAAACCAGTTACAGGACGTCTATTTTCAAGACCCTTTACTGGTGTGAAAACATAAGCTCCAGGGTATTTTCCAGTTTCTGTTTGTTGGCTTGAAATCATACTGGTTAGGATCCCTCTTTGCTATGCGCTAGCACTTAAAAGGTTGCAAACCTTCATACCTCCCGCAAAATAATGTGCATCAAATAATGATAAGAAGGCTATGGATGCCACCTCTCTATACTCATTAATTGCATTATGCTTTACCATTAACCGCTGGCAACTAAGAGCGTCGATAATACAATATTTGGCCACTTCGCGCATTTGTTCGGCCTACATGTAATCTGGCTTTTTTAATGCCCTTTCATAATATTTGTTCATGCGGTGAATAGGCATATCCATTTTACTTTCGAGCTCACATTCATTTAGGTAAAATGCTAAACTACTCTTTTCAGCCTTAGAATAAATTCCCATAAAACAGGGTCGGACGTCAATAGCTACACATCCCGGAATTTTAAGATTTTTCGAATGGAATTTTCTATCATTTACTTTTATCATATTATATCGATATTCCCATTTTATAATTTTTTCCAGGCTCGATGGCTTGAATGACATATGATTGAACATCCATTCGAGAACTCCTAATTTATTAGCTTTCTCTATAATAAACCACCAATCGTATTGAGAATCGTTAAAGCCTATGTGTATATCCGGAGCTAGAAGTTTCCAACATAAAGCGAATGCTTTTAGTAAATCTGTCTGGGATCCACATACAATTGTGATCCAGCTTGGCTCTGGTGCTGTTTCAACATCGACAAGACAGATTTGTTTTAACGGTTCAGGATCATCTTTCCAATGCACTGTCATACAAATCATAAACACTCTGTCTTCATCATATTTTGCGTTAGGCATCTCGCCTGTTTTTCGTGAACTATATGTCTCAATATTCCATGTGAGTATGAGGGTTCGATCCCTCGTAAGTGCCGAGGAGAATAATGGATTATTATAATCGTCCTCACTTATTGGATTATAATTATCCACAGATAGTCGAAATAGGTAAGTACCATCTGGGGTGAATTCGTATAAATAATTGCTTAATACGGCCCAGCTTGAAAGAGGTAATCATTCTTCACGAGCTACTTTGCGGTAATAATACTGGCAGTTCAGATCATCCGAGACTGTACGTATGCCAACTTCACGAACTGCTTTTAGGGCATTATACCGATCAAAGTGGTTCCACGTCCTTATACGGATATATGCTTTCTTTTCTGTATAATAACCCTGAAGTGGAAAAGCACGAATATCCTCAAACCCAAATTTTGTTGTATTTTTGAGTGTAACTGATAAAATGCATGTTAATATGGTCTTAAGTGAAGAGAGGGAATGGTTTTCAGGTACTTCAACATTGAAGAATGGTCGGATGCCTGTGATATTTACGACCACCTTTTGCCCATTAATCAAAGAACCAGTGATACGCAAGATATAGGAGGAATACCCCTCGATATCATCACTAACTTCCGTCAGTAGGCATGAAATGTATGGGTTGCTTGCCGGATAGGCTTTGTTGAAATATAGTGGTTATCCCATTATCGAATTCTGCCACAATATTATTACGTGATGGGATACCAGCTAAAAGGCCGGCACCGTCATAGCAGACGAGAGTTCCAGTGCGATCAGTTTGGTCGGAAATAGTTGAGGTATACATGCTGACAATAGGTAAAGATATTATATCACAATATCTTTACGAAATGTTTAATTAATTTTTTCGTCCTTCGAAAAAAAGAGACATATAGCAAGCTAGTAGGTAAATCGTAAATAAAAGGGAAACGGACATGTATCTGAAAGTGTAGCCTTCTGCGGAATTATATTATATAAAAATGGCAGAAGGCTACACTTTTCTAGATATGTACTTGGGTATGGAAAGCCTGGTCAGAATCAATATATACTGCCTATACCGGCAATCGAAATTGGCATACTTATACCAGCCATCAAGAAAAAGGCTAACTGTACACACTAATTCACCATGATGCAGTCCAACTACACTAATCCCTGTACCTTCACGCTATTGGTTGTATCGTTTGCAGTAAAATTCTTTTTATTTCCGTGGTCATGGGAATCGAACCTGCGACCTCACCATACTCAGGCTTAATGAGGGTCTCAGTGACTAACCACCGAGATAGGGTGANAGCCTATCTTCTCTATAATCTTTACGGGTGATAGCCTCAACAGCCATTTCATTGTCAGTACCAGCATCTCATAACTGCCTATAAGCTCTGAACCATTTCATATAGTTATAATTCCCATACTTTGAGATGAACTCTTCGGTCAATGATTCAGATGAAATCTCATAACAATCTGCAATATGATGCCGGTCTAAAGAGCGTATCTCTTCTAAAGTCTTCTTCGACTTGCTTTCCAATAATTCAGCAGTCTCATGATCGAGGATATTGGCATTAGTTATTGCTGATATCTCCTCTGCCTTAATGGTAGCGGAATTCAACTTCACAACTTGAGATAATGATGTAACATTTTCATCGTATTTAGGAATAGGTTCTATGATGGAAATGATCATACCCGCCTTTCGAAGAAAATCAACCATCTTCCAACCAAATAATCTCTGAGAACGGAATTTCTCCAACATAAATGCTACCCATAATCGAATGGTTGGTACATCCTTATTCCGGATGATAGAGTCTATGTCAGGAAATATTCCTCTATTCTGAAGTTTTCAGGGAAGACATTCTCGTTTGGCATTCAACAACCATTGGAATAATCCTTTCTCTGTAATAGGAATATTAGACGATCTTTGTTCGATATGACATATATAGTCTTTGATACATCGCATGCAGAATAACATCTGATTCGTCCCAGCATTCGTTTCTATATAACTGTTAAAGATGCAGAATGCTCGTTCAAACTTGGGATTGGTGCAAGACACTCTTATCTTTAGAGTACTAGTATAGGCAACTAGGTCTACGTCTTTCCATGATTCTTCTACGTTGCTAAAGTCATGAGCCTTCTCCACCGGATCAGATTTACTATGATATTCCTTGATCCGTAATTCTGGAAAATCAGTTTTGAGAGCACGAACAATTCCTTGCATGTCTTTTCTAAGGTGACAGATGAGCGATGCGCTTGTTCGTTTCTCAGAAGGCAGTGAAGATATTTGCCTAGCCCAATCCCAGAGTTCGGCTAACACAGTTTCTTTATTAGGAGCCAAGCGGAATGTTTTACCATTCTGAGGCTGGTAAGTATTGTGGATAACTGAGAATGGTTTATCCTTGCGAAGGGGTTTAATCCATTCGATATTTAGATCAGTAAGATCATTATCCATGACGATAATCCGTCTAGCCTCTTGGATTAATTTATATAATCTCTCTATTGATTGTCCCGCCAGACGACTTTGTGCTTGAGCAATTATAGATACTATTTCATCAAGCCATAAGTCATATTGGATTGGGGAGCATTTGCATTTTTTATTACATTTGCATTTATTAACAATACGATGTAAACTCTCTATTTGACATACCACCCTCTTGTGATCGGGTAGATTTATATTACCATCAATATCGAAATATGACCTAAGATTAAGCCTTGTAGTAACAGCATTTGAGTAAGAGTGGCGCGTAGACAGCACTAGTAAATTTACGTCATCAGGAATAACCAAATTTTCAAGAACATATGTTTTTCCTGTTTCCCAAGGCGACCCCACACATATATCGCCTTTATTGGGTAATGATCTTACATATCTTTCCACATATGTTTCTGTCGCTGTAAGGGGGTCAATATACTTGACCCAAGATGGCATTTTTACGAAGGCTTTAAGGAAACCCGAAGCCTTTACCTTGTGGGAGGATTGTGGAGAATTTTTATTTTCTTGCTGAATTTTTTCTGCAATAGATGATTCGCATTCAAAAACTTCCCTAGGTTCATCAGTACCTTGCCGGAAGCATTTTACAATGAATGTTCCATTGCTGGCATATACACGACCGAACCACCGCTGATCCTTGTCATGTATACGTTTACATAGTGGACATTCTAGTAGACCTTTCCGGTTGAAATATACGAAGTTTTTCAAGTCTTTTTCTTCGATAGTCCAATCCCTAAGATAGTTAGAATGTTTTTGCAAAACAAGATTCGCGCATTTTTGCAATACATCCTGACTCACAATTATTCTTAGTGGATTATTATTTTTTTTTTCACTAAGCATCCAAGGTCTTACTTCAAGTCCCAAACTAGGAGGCGGTTGAACCCTAACGTGATCGAGTTCATTCCAGCCATTGTCTAGAGAGAATTGGAGAATGCGCTTCACCTGACCTTTTTTTGCTAATCCGATTAGGCGAAGGTTGAAATTCTGACCAGGCAACCCTCTGTCAATATACTTGCCAAATTTTTCACCGCTTATGGTATATACTAATTCTGTAAACGCTTTGAGTTCATGATGATCAATAAGGAGAGCTGGTGCATATAAAATATGATAACTACATTTGCTAGGATCTGTTGATGTAGTAACTATTAACCCTTTAAGAATATCCTCTCAGCTACAATCAAGAATTCGATACAAAGCTCTTATGAAAGATAGGCAGATTCAAAAGAATACTTCTTGTGCCTTAACACCAGTCACTTCCATATCTTCTTGCGAAGCATCTATGTCAATCACGGCTCTTAAAGGTTTTTGTCCATTAATACATTCGTGAATCCCAGGTAGACCATATACTTCGGAAATGTCATCTGCAACAGAAAACTTTGGGGCTCGATCATCTTGATCGATTTTGATAACCAATTTATCTTCCACTTCATCCCGGTCATAAGCATTATATAAACTAGACCCTTTTTCATTTAAAAAGAGGAACGAATAGATTGGAAGGCAATCCAACGATCCTTTATCATTTGACATATCTCTAGGCGATGATGAGAGAATCCCCTGAATGGCATTTAGCAAATCTTTAGGGGAAAATTTATCATTGAAGTTTTCTTGCCTCAAAGTATATGTCACATTAACCTTTCGTTCTTTTACAGCTTCGGTAGTGCTGGTTGAAACGCAGAGAGCTCTTTCATTATCGGACTCATAATTAGACTCGTAGTTATTATAATCATCTGATCCGCAATCAGAATCATTATTATAGGTATCTGAGTCACTCAAGTATTCACTGGGGCCAGCGCCGTCATAGCGGGCGAGAGTTCCAGTGCGATCAGTTTGGTCGGAAATAGTTGAGGTATATATGCTGACAGTAGGTAAAGATATTATATCACAATATCTTTACGAAATATTTAATTAATTTTTTTGTCCTTCGAAAAAAAGAGACATATAGCAAGCTAGTAGGTAAATCGTAAATAAAAGGGAAATGGATATGTATCTGAAAGTGTAGCTTTCTGCGGAATTATATTATATAAAAATGGCAGAAGGCTACACTTTTCTAGATATGTACTTGGGTATGGAAGGCCTGGTCAGAATCAATATATACCGCCTATACCGGCAATCGAAATTGGCATACTTATACCAGCCATCAAGAAAAAGGCATCTGGATGCATCAAAATGTGTAACCTTCACGTAAAATAGGAATATACCAAAAAGAGATACGAAATTCTCTGGCTGACGGTATTTACTTAATAAACACACCCGCTCTATTGGCGCAAATAAATACATTTTCTCTAGTGTAGTGATCTTATATAAAATATTGGGAAAAGACTACCCTAATACTAGTATATACTCGGGTATGTCATCCAGGGTAGTCTGAAGCGGATATCTTCCTTAATATTATATAAAAATTGAAAGAAGACTACCCTATCACTAGTATATACTGTATCTGGGTATGGCATAAAGGCTACATCTCGATGGTATGCATATCGCACCTCTAACCTCGAACACGAAATTGGTATAATTATACTGGCAACAAATAGGCAAAAGTTTAGTTGCAAAATGGTGCAGGCCGACTATGGTAATATACAGTTTTTTATATTTTGCAATTCGAATTCTCTGACCCTCGGGTTAGCAAAAGTCACTTGACTGGCGCAGTAAGGCGCAGTACCGGCCAGCATTATTCCACAATTTCGGTCAAGATCTTTGGGTATAAGAAATCGATATCCAAGCTGGCATTTCATAACACTTCCATGATAGTTCCTCACTAGTTCCATGATAGCTCCACAGAACTTCCAGGACACTATCAAGTCTCCATCATATAGCCAAGCTGGATCTTCTAATCACATGCCCAAAAGATCAGCTGAAATTATGGTATATTGCCGGCCAAAATTAAACGCAGATTTACATTGATCTACTGCGCCACCTGACACCATATTTTTTTACCACATTTTGGTATCTAGAAAGGCAACCAAATAGGCACAAAAAAGGTAAGTACTTTAATATAGAATTTGACATTCAATCAGACGCGAAAGGTCAGTATCGACAATATATATCTTAAATTACAAATAGAGTAAAAACATGAAGAAAAGAGAGATATTTAGGTTAAAGTATGGGTGGTATCTAGATTATAACATGGTAATAAAATCATACATAGGAGAAAAATACAGATACCAAGAAAGGTATAAAAATATAGCTAGAATGTGAACAGAGATAACACCAAAATAAAAGAGTAGATTAAAGTGTGGTAGCCAGGTTATGTATTCAGATTAAAGCGTGGTAGTCAAGTCGTAGTAATTAGATTATAGTATGGTAATTAAGTTATAGTGTGGTATTTAGAGTATAGT